TTTTTTTTAGTAATTCTGGGATGTCCTTCTGTGCTGTGTCCTATTTTCAAGTTTTCCTCAAACAACTCCAGTACTGAGAGCTGCTTTTAGCATTGGTCAGCACTTCAGGGTCCTGGGGAGTTCAATCATAGGTAACACACTAAGTTACATTTCAAGTGGTTGTGAAGAAACCTTGAGGTATATCTGGAGGATGATTCCTTTAATTACTTTTAACTTCATAGAAGTCTCAGTGTCTCCACTTCCTTGAAATAGTGTACCAAATCCTGTGGAGAATACCTGGAAAACAAACGCTTGTTTTCCCTGGGTGGAGATCCAGCATCTGGGGGCAGTTGCAGGGGCTTTACTCCAGTAGGAGACAGAGTTTGGCAAAGCAAGGGCATACTGCAGAACCAGGAGGACTGGGTATCTGAACATCTCTAGAAGAACCAGTATGGCTGCATGTGTTGAATTGTACAGCTGTAACATTTGTACTTAGCTGAAGAAGAGTTTAACAGTCTCTGTGGCAGCTCAAGGACTTTAACTAGCCAGGTCTCTTCTGTAGCACTTGCTCCTTGTGCATGTCTCCAAGATCAAGAGCCATCTCCCAGATTGCTGCTCGTGCAGCTGAGGGAGTGAGATTTGCAGAGAGATACTGTGCTTTATTTGAATAATCAGTATGAGTTGGGGAGGGAGTTTAGGCAAGCTTCTGGGCACACTGTCCTTCTTAATAGCAATTTGAAGTAGGAACCTGGCATATTGCTTGTTGAAGGTTAAATTTGAGCTGAGTAGGTATTCAGGCTAAAATATTACTGTGAAAATAGAACAGTGATGAAGATGTTGGATAGCTGGACCTTCTTGATGACTGTGCTTTCTTAGTGATATGGAATAACTCTTGAGTTTGTCAAACTTGGCTTTGACTCACTCAGGAGCTGAAGCTTCTATTGCATGTTCTGGCTAATGTTGCATGAGGTGAACACTAGTTTTTTCTTTTGAGTGGTTTTTGTGCAATACTGTGTGCAGTTGAGAAAGCAAAGGCTGGAACCGTTTATGGTTAATATACTTAATGAAATAACATGCATTGTTCTCACATTAGATCTTAAACTGATGGTCCCTGGGAGGCTGGCATAAGTTAAAAACTAGTCTAGGGAGTATTTACAGTTTAAGACAAAAATCCATCTCAGAATAGTTTGATCATTTCTGCTGTTAAGTGGCTTTTGATAAGCCATCTGTTAATGCTGTGTAAATAGCAATAAATTTGAGCCTAAAGGAGATAGCTGTGAAACTTAACTCCTGCCTCCACTTTCCCATTTTTAAAAAGGTGATTAACTTGAAAATGACACTCTTTCTTTAAAATGCTTTTTCTGTTGGGTGTATCTTCAGATAATTGTCACAACAAGGATCAGAAGTAACAAGCTTTATCTTGTAAGTGAAAAAACTGTTTGAACAGTCAGCTTGCTTATAAAAAACTTCTTTCTGCCAAAATAGGGAAGAGGTAAGATTGATAAGAAGCTGGTTGCAAACTCCTAGTTGTTAGCAGCATGGAAAAGAAAAGTAGTAGTATGTGTAAAAACAAAATTACTTAATTCTTAATTTTTTAAATTGTCATCCTGGCTACATACTTTTAAAAATTGCCAGCTGTGGTTATCTCTGGACACATGCTTGTGCTTAAATGATATTGAATTAAGTTGGTAATGATGTCAGAGGAAGGTGTGGAGTTAAGCCCAGACACTAGCTGTTACATTGCAAGGCATATTCGCAATATTGACAATCTCTAATGTTTTCACTTTCTGGTAGATTCAGCCAAATGGGAGCCTCAGATGTAAGCCAAGTTAAGTGTTTACGGCGTGGATTCAATTGTGCACTTGTAGGAGAAGAAAGAAGTTTGCTTTGAGGGATGTATCTGTACACTTCCTTCCTTTGGCAGAGGGAAACCACAAGGTTCACGTCCACCTGGGTCCCTCTGTGTTAGGGATGGTTGGGGCTGAGCTGGAAGAGTTCTTGAAGCACAAGTGTTCAAAATGTGCCATTTCTGCGTTGAATCAGCAGTAACCAAATATCCAATAGAATATTGTGTCACTATTATGGAAGTACAGAGTGGCTTTACATGATGTGCTTCTTGGCATCTGAACTGTGAGTCTCTCCAGATCAGGTTGTCACTTTTTCTGTATAAATAAGTTAATTTTATGTATAGACTTGTCCTGTTCCAAGACCTTGTCATGAGGATGGTAAAAAGAGAGTCCTTATGCTAAGATTTTTGCTTTACTCAGTCCACAGGAGCAGCTGAAGTAAAAGTTGAGCCACGCCTTCATGATGTGAGGTGAAAGGAGAATTTTTTGTTTCAAAAATGCGTGGCAGCATTTCACAGAAAAGTTAAGGCTTCACAACACTTTCTGCAGCTAAACTGTAGCTGAGTAATAGCACAAAGCCTTTGGGGGTTTTGGTGATATAGTGATATTACAGTTGTGTTCTGTAGTCTGTGTCTGTTTTGCCAGCTGTTGTACAGGCCCAGCAAGAGCAGTCTGCCCTGATGAGCTTGCTGTCTAAATAGCCAGGGTAAACAGGGGCTGGAGGGGAAGGAGAGGCAGGGAGATGTCAAGCAAGTTGCCCTCTGTGCAGCAGGTCAGTGTCAGAGCCAGGAATAGCAGAGGGTGCTTTAAGCCTTTATCCAGGGCCTGCTTGCTGGACCACCTTGGACTGCAGAAATCGGAGAGGCAAAGAGCTCATTGTAAGGTGATTCTTTATTTAAGGCATGGAAGAAAGGAGTAAAGTTGCAGCTGGGCTAAACTTATTTCCTCTTTGTTACAAAGGAATTTTAGAGGGCAGGTTAAAAGTTGGAACCTAAATAGTTTGACAATTTGTTCTTTGTGATGTATTAATAGACATCAAAATATAGAAGTGTTCCACTGCATGTTTTCTCTTTCCCTGTCTCCTGTTCTGCCTTGCCCACTAGGATCATGGTGTATTCTCCAGTTCAGAGAAGCAGATTCATTAATGGACAGATTTATCATCTATGAGTATTTAAGAGCTTGTGTAAGCATTTTGGTGAGTTAATAAAAGCTGTGTTTTCTCCAGATCTTGGAAAAATGTATGTACCTACAGGAGCAGGAAATGGCCAATCTGTGCAAGTCAAATCCAAATGCAAACTGCAGCAATCATAGGAGACCTCAGCCTTCACCACTGGAGGGGGAGGGAGTGTGAATGCTTGTAAAGCTGCTTCAGTTTCCTTCATCTTTTGAACTAGTTTTAAAAACAAAGTTTTCATTACTTTTAGGACAGAAATGAAGAAGGCAATGAACTGGTGCAGATGATGCAGAGGGGAATACTCTGGGGAGGATATTGCAGTAACAAAAAAGTCTTGGATTAAGGAATGCAGCTCTTGTTTTGTGCTGGAAAAGTCCGTGGTTTTCATAAACCTGTTGTTACATTTATTCTTACTCTGCCTTAAACTGTTAGTGCTGAGCAGGACAGATCTGCCAGGGCAGCTTCACAACCTTGAAACTACTGCTTTTTCTGGGAATGTGAAGTTGTTTGTAAGAGTTCTTTGAGGCCTGCCTACCCTTCCCTTAAGATCTTTGCTAGTACAAAGAGAAAGAAGAATTTTATGTAGTACAGGGATTAAAATATGTGTGCTTAGTTTGTTGCTGTTACCCCTGTTGAACTAGGTATGGGTAATTTCATTCTATCCAAGTACTTCCCTGACAATCTACTCTTTCAAATCAGAATACATTTCACACTTCTTCAGCAGCTTCAGGTTTTCTCTCCAGGGCAGTGCATTTTTAGAAGAAGCCCAGATTTTGTCTCCAAGAAGCCTATAAAACTCTCTGAGAGGGTCCAAATCCTGACAGGAGTTTCTAGCCAACATCCCATTGCAGTCACTTGTGAGGGAGAGGGCATCTGGTGGCAGAGTGGCTGGCTCGGTCTTGGTGGTGGTGAGTTTTTGGGAAGCCTTTGTGGAAGTGTGTGTCCTTGCTGTGTGCACAGAAATTTGTTTGCACCTCTGGGGTATTATGACAGCCTCTGCCTTCTTCATGAGGTGACTTTGTCACAAGAGCTGTTTGGTGGAGCAGTTGGCAGCCTGGTAACATCTGAGATGGCACAGACACAGCAGAGGAAGCAAGGAACAGTGAGGAACAGTCGGCAGAGCTCTTTTCCATCTCGGAGTTATTCGAACCCGGGTCCCGTAGGGAGAGGGGAGCGCAGGGGACAGGCTGAACATGGCAGTAAGCTAAGTAAGGGTCATGTGCTAAAAGAATTCAGTTGGAATTTTTGTCCTGGAAGAGACATTTAGAAAGCCAGCCGACTTGTTGAGGACAGTAACAGGGGCTCCTGACATAAATAGCTTTTCCCTCTCGGCTGGCTGTTGGTGGCCCGTGACTTGTAGCTGCACCGAGGCCCTGCTGCTCAACAGGTGTGTCCTGACTACACAAATAAGTGCAGTTGGTCATTGTGTTAGCCAGCCTTGCCACAGGGCCAAGGTTGATAGTGGGGCCTTAGCCACTGTGACCTGTTTGTTCTCTCTATGACCCTTCCAGTCAGGCCTCAGGCAGGCTGGTGACAGCTTTTATGCAGACAGCAGTTTTTGTCCACACAAGAAATTCAGTCCCAGCAGGTCTCTGCAGACTTGCATTTCCAGATGAGCTCTTCAGTACTTAAGATGTAGCAAAACATGAAGGACTTTGGTGGGTTAGGGTGCCCCATGCAGCTGGGAAAATACACAGCATGACATGTTGGTGTTATCTTCTGTTATCTTCTGTAACATGGCCTATGTTGTTGCAGGCACCACTGTTTTGGCACATGCTGAAATTGTAGACAGCCAGCAGAAATCTCCCTGGGATGCAGCACAGCACAGAAGCTCTTGCTGTTGCAGAAATACCATTTCTGGTGGAAAAGGACTTTGGATGGGGAGGGGATCATTGAAGGCAATCATTCACCTCCAAGATATGTTGGAGGTGAAGCTTTAGGAGGTGATTCCTTCACTGTTTTCTTTTGGGGCTCAGGCCAGCAACTGCCTTGGTACCTGAGGTCACCTGGGTCAGTGGTGCTGTGTGGGGACAGTTCCAGTCTCTTACTTCAGCAGCTGGGAAGTGGGCTCCAGAAGGAATATTACATTTCTTTTGGTAACTCTGCCAAGAAAGAGAGGAAATTCATAATTTGAGCAAAATACTTTTAGCTTTTTTTTGTAGAGTGGGGAGAGGTAGGAAGGGGGAAATGAAAAATCCTTTATAATGGGTTGCTTGGGATGATTTTTGTCCTGGAGCTCCCTCTCAGGCTGTAAGAAATGTTCACCTTCTCTTTCTTAGTATAACTAAGTCTTTGAAAAGGGAGCCTCCATCAGGAGTGCATGCAATTGGAAACATGCATTGGCTCAGGTCATGTATTGCACTGTGATTTGGGATCCTGATAGAGTGCTTTTTGGTGGTAATTAGATAATAACAAAGACAGCATTGTATGTCCTGAGTAATGTAACTTTATCAAATATTGATAATTGTGATGCCCTAGCAGAGGTCTAAGATGATGCACTGTAAAGGGCTTTAAGAACATTTTGCTTGAATTTGTGTTTCATAATCAGTCTTCACTCATTCCTTCATCCTGTGTTTCCTATCATCCTTCTAGGATGCTGGACTGTACCTCAGCTGCTTTCTGATGAAGGTCTGTGTAGGTACTATTAAAAGTAGCAGTCCTTCCTCAGTGAGTCAGCCTTCAGCAGTCTTGAAGTTCACTGTTGGGTGCCTTCTCTGGGAACACAAAAGCCAAGATCTTGATTTCACAGAGTAGTTAAGCATGTGCTGAATTTTAAACCTGTGCCTTAGTATTTTTCTGGATTGTATACTAAGAAAGATCAAGGTATTCATTGGCCAGTAGATAGTGTTCCCTCCATAGCATTTTATGCAGCATTTGACTTCATATGGAGGTTTAGTCTCCTGAATCTTTGGATGTTCAACACAGCTGCTGAAGTAAGAGGTACCTAGTTAAGTCAACCACTTGGTGCAAGTGTGTGATGTCTGTTGATTGCCTTAGTCATCATGGAAAAATTGTTAAAAGTTTGCAAGTGTAGAAAGTGTGTTGATCGTGATTGAAACAAAGTAGGCTCTTGTAGGGGAGAAAAGGAATTTTTTATCAAATTGTTAAGCTTATATGGTGATGATGTTTTTAACTTTGTGAGATATGGGAATTGTTCTCAGGCATTGCAGTGATACTCATCACATTTTTTGATGCATTCTGGGAATTGCTCTGGAGGGATGCTATTGAGAAAGCAAATCAAGTGATCAAATTGTATCTCAGCAGTTGATTCCATAGCTGGGCTTGATTTAACTTCTGGTGTGAGGGATCAAATGTCTCTGACCAACACTGCACTTCAGCATTTGCTGCGCCATAATTGCCAAAAGGGAGGGATGTATCAGTCCAATTTCTTCATCATCTTTTTCCATATCATCTGTCCCTTTTCTTGCATCTATTTTGAATAAATAAAATGTCTGGGATGTAAAAGCAGGATACTTTTAAGACATGTTTAAATTAGCTGGATCCAGAGTTGCTATATGGAGGAGGAAGGCTGGACGAATATATATCTATTAAGAATAAAACAAAAAAACCCAAAACACCACCATGACCACCCCCTCCCAAATCCCATCAGACCTCCCCCATATAGTCTCCCCACCCAACCCTCATCCCCTCCAGACAGAAACTGTTGATATGTGGGAAAGAACGAGGTGTCTGTTTCAAAAGTAACTGCAATAGTGAACTGGGGCTCTGGGCTGAGCCAACACGTGACTCTTCAGAACTTCCATATTCAGCAGTAGGAGGGTCAAGGCCTGCTAGAAAAGGGACCAGCAGGTCCCTTTGGAGGAGGGAGCAGCCAAGATGGAAGCTGCTTTTTTGACCTTGGAGTCACCTTCTTCAGAGCCTTGGAAATTACATCTAGTCTTAGTAGGGTTTATGCATTGAGCTCAGAATGTCTGGTTGGGCCAGCACGTGTTGGGAGGGGGATGTGGCACGAGTGTGTTTTCCATCACTGTGCATGCTGGTGACTTGAAATCTGTATGTGGGGAAAGCTTAACTGAGGGCTGAGTGTAGGGAGGAGAAGTGTTTTGGAGTAAGGAATGGAATTGCATGTAGGCGGAGAGCCTGGACTCTGTCTGGGAGAGTAATAAGCAGTGATGAGAGTGGGTCTGACCTGACTTTTTGGTACTGTGCATTCCTCATCTCAGACACTATCTGGCCTCATGAGCTCTTGCAAGTGCTCCCTTTAAAAGAGGAATTCCTCTTCTTTCAGCCTAGTATAACTATTTTGGTTTTGTTTGTTTGTTTTTAAATGGCTATGAAAAATAAAGAGCCTGTAGCTTTCTAAATTCAATTTTAATTGGTGTGGCTCTACTGATCATAAACGTAAAGTTGCAAAGCTTTCTAGAGGATGAAAAGCTTTTCTGTGTGTGGTTTCTGTTTTTGTTTAAAATGGGTCACATGCCCAGGAATGCAGTCAAATTATAATGGTGACTAAGTGCCGGAAAGCATAGAAAAGAGGAGGGAAGGGTGAGCAGAAAAAAAGGAGCCTGAGGCTATGGAAGGAAGGCTGGGAAAATAAGAATCTGGCCAGACCCCAGGGCCAGGTTAGAGATTCCTACACCCATTAACGCAGGAGATGTTTATTTACAGGGAGCTAATCTTTGTTTTAAAAATGACAGAGTAACCAAAAATGCTACTTTTGGGAAGTGGATTGGAGGGGCTGTAGAGATGGGAGGAAGAAACTGATTCTGATGAGGCACCAGTTCCCATCTCTCAAGGATCTTCCCTTCTCCCTATGAATCTCGCTGTGTTGGCTGTTGAGAAACAGATGAATGTGGGATAAACTCTTGTAGTCTAGTAAGTGTAACCCCTAGTTACAAAGGATAATTTCTAGAGTTCCTTCTTGTTTGTAGTGTTCTGATCTTTTCTATTTAAACAGCTCCAGTAAGGGTTTTGAATAATTAAATTTATGATAGGAGAAAGATGGGAGCTAAAGTTGCCATTTCCCATGTCTTTAATCAACTCTGGATCATGAAAACAAAACAGGTGTTGAACAGCTGCTTGAGCTGGGTATATTAATGTAGACTCTAAGGAGACCTTGGTCCCAGGTCTCTGTGGTACCTACTTTTTGTCACATCTTGAAGAGTATTGATCTTGGTTTGTCTCAGCTCATTCCAATAACTTTGATTTGTAGCCCAGCAATAGTTTCTCTTTTAGTAGCTTTGTCTGACTGTAAAGAGAGAATTTTCCAGCGATATGCTGGAATTCTCTATCCTTTGGTGAGCTGCTGCAAAGGATAGATTTCTTAGGGTGTGTGTACATTGGATTGTTGATACACATGAATGTATTTTGTCTTTTGCTTGGACTCATCTTTATTTCTGATTATTGTATGTGGTTATGGGATTGTCAGACAGGTGAGACTCTGGAACAGTTTCTTTACTAGTCCTTCTGGATAGACACTCTTTGGCTTCTTGTTTCAGTGTTCTCCTGACTGGTGTTTCTTCCATCTGGTGTTGTCCTTGTCTTAAATGGCTCTTGTCAATCTCTATTAAAAGGGTGATATCCCAAATCTCTGGTTCTTCTGGAGATTTCTTCGTATCATCTCGTTTGGATTATATTTTGTCTGAACCTGTGCTGCATTCAGTATACTTGGTCAAGTCTTGATCATATTTCAGGTTTGTGATCATCAGAGGTGGCTTTCTTTGCTGGTAATACCTCACTGTTGTCAGTGTTCCTTTCTTGTCAACTCTCACAAATGTCCTCACTGTAGTGTGGCAATGCACCATCAGTGTGTGTCAGTTCACCATTGTGGAACCAGGGTGACAGCTTACCTGTGGCCATCTTGAATGCATTTGTTATCCAAAAGGCATCAGTCCTGGTTGCTAATCTTGTCTCTCCTCCTCTATCTGCAGAGCTCCTGGCATTCCAGTGAAGGAAAGGGTGAAGGTATCTCAGAACTGGAGGCACGGACGCTGCCGGAGGGAGACAGTCCTGAAATGGAAATGCAAGCAAGTGGCTCCTTCCTCTACTCTTTGTTATGTGACAGCTGCTGTGGGGCTTTGGGTTTGTGCCTGTGCCCTGAAATGAGATGTTTCCTGCTCTTTGTGCTCCATGGGGTCTTACCAATGTTTGTTGCTGGCTTATTTTGGGTGTTCCTGGCTAGCTGGGTGTGGGGTAACCTGAGTTGCTGCCTTGCCCTGGGGATTCATGCTTGAGTGTCCAGAGTTTCTTTCTTAGCAATTTGAATTTGTCTTTGTTCTGATCTGTACAGTTTTAGTCACATTTAGCAACCTTTACTACAAACTGCTGCATTCATGTCTACTGTATACCATGAGCAGTCTTTTGTCCTGCTCTCACAATGAGACCACCTTGATCCCAGATGTGGACTTAGGTGTTCCCTCAAAATGCTTTGTCTGTCTCCCTGGTTTATCCTGGATCCTGATTTGGATGTACAAATCTAAAATGCTAATTGCAATTCATCTGCCTTTTGCTCCTTCATTCTCATGCTTCTCTCCTTCACTTAAAAAAAAAGTGTATTTGACATTAATGATAGGAGCTTGTTGTTAAATTCTTGTTTGCAAAGGTGTTCTTGGCTTTCAAAGCAAAGCATAAGATAGGTCACTTGTCTGAGCTGCACATCGAAGTTTTCAGCCTTCACATCATCACACTGAAGGAAAAATGAGAAAGACTGTGGTTTGTTAGCTGCTGAAGAACAGGGACCTTCTACTGAGCTTTCATGCCTTTTTGTGCTGTGTAGATTGAAGTGGTGGATAATGTGCCACTTCTTGCCTAGAGTCCTGGGAACAGCTGTAATGAGCAGAGTGGGTTTTGGTGCAGGTTGTATACCTGCCTTTGAAGTGCTTGCAACCATCTGTGAAGACAGGCTCTGTGGATGTTAGAGATCATTACTAAACCAGCTTCCCAAGTGAAAAGGCAAGGACTGATTTAATGAGGCCACCATCCAAATGCCATCTCCTAATTTTCATTTATTCTGCTTCAGATTTTTTACTTCTCCTTATGAAAAAGCCATAGAAAAAGGTAAAAAGCTAAACTTCTGCAAAAGGAGAGCTGCAGAAACTGGCTGTAGTCTAGGTAAGCTGGATATTCACTTGCTTTTAGAGGACTGCGTAGGAGTGGAGGAAGGAAGGGGAAATCAAAGCCTGCCTGAACCCAGAGCTCCTGCTCTAAAGATGCCTTTTACTTTTTCCATGTATATGATCAAGTCCCAGATGAATATTATAAACTCAACTGCTTTGTCCATGTGATTAAAGGCCTGTTACTGGAGATGAATACAGGCAAGCTGGAACCTTCTGTCTAATGAGCAATCTTGTCCTCTTGCTTGTATCTAGTTGTTCATTGTGATGCTACAAGGTACGGCTGTGTGTAATGACTGATGACACAGAAAATCGTGACCTCTGAGGATAAATGATCTAAAAAAAAGAGGGAGACAGGTTTTTATGAGAAGCCCCACTGCTCTCAAAGCCATTTGTTCCTGATTAGTTTGAGAACTGAAAGGCTGCTCTGTAGAAGGGCTCTGGATTTGCTCGGTGTTTCTGTGGGCATTGGTGCGCTTGGCAATGACTGCAGAGCAGAGACAATTTCACCCGTCCATGCCCCATAGGACATGAGTACCGTGTCTTTGTATCTGGCCTCACTATGTCCAGAAATTTTATTTGCTGATTCTCTGTTGGCTACAGAGAATCAGCTAGAGAAAAGCTAGAGAAAAGCTCTCACTGCCTAAGTGTGTATTGTAGCCTATTTTCTTCTATATTTTGGTTTTGTTTCAAGAATAAATAAACTTCTTGAGATGTCAGACTTGATTCAGATATTGCATGAGTGTCTTGTCTTCTTCCTCATCTCCCAGAAAGTAAAGCATATTTTCCATATGTAACATCAATCTTCAGAATACTTTGGAATAGTTTTTTTGGCTCCACTGCTCATGACCTGGAACCATACAATTCCATACAAACCTGCCACTGTCCCACATAAAGCAGTGGGCACAAAGGGTGTATGGGCTTTTCTAAAAGATGGGCAAGAGAAACCAAGAGCTTGCTCTACAGCTTATGGCTCAGCAGGGGAAGAAGTGTGAATGTAGAACAATACATCCTCTGTATGATGAGCATAAATTTCTTGGGTAGCCTCAGAGTGCAGGAGGGGGTGACTTTCTGTCTGTAGGAAGATCTGTGGTATTCTGGTGACATGCACCCCTGCTTAGAGGTGTGAGGAACAGTGGCAGCTTTGTGTTCTCTGCTGGGCACCGGCAAATAGTGTTCAGGATCAAGAGTGGCTGTTTGCACCAACAGCCTCACATCTTAGAAATGCTCAGCATAGCTCACCAGCACCAATCTAGTTTCTTAAAAAGTACAGAGCTCATGTGTAGGTTCGGGGGCCCTTAAGTATTTCCTATCTATGTTCACTAGACTTTTGGCCATCTTCTCTTTCAGAGATTCCATGCTTCCTTTTCCTCAGCTCTGGGTTAGAAAAATGCCAGCAATGTAATCTGCTTTTTATGTTGCTGGAGAAGCTTCACTTGTAGCTATGCTGCTATATTAAGCCCTGCTTTTGCATGTGACCTGCTGCTCCAACCTGACTTTTCTTGAGCAGGCATTTGTTTTTGTTGATATGTTTGCATATGGAATTTTTTTTTTCTTTTTCTGTGTGAGGTTGTTTTGTTTTCCTCTCCCTGCTCCTGCGTGCTCCCAACCTGCTGTCTGTTTGCAGTTTGATGCCCTGGATGGAGCTGGATGGCGAATATCTCTACCTGTCTCAAGCAGAGAACATCCAGGCCTACCAGCTCTGTGCAGAGGGGACGGGTTTGCAGCGTCACCCTCAGGCCATCTTCTCTGGCCACCAGGAGGATGTGTGTCGCTTTGTTCTTGTCAACTCCCACATTGTCAGTGGAGGGGGGTAAGTTGGGTGAATGAAGGAGCCAAGGGTTTTGCTGCTGAAGTTGGAAAGATTCTGTGTAACTCCAGCCCAGAGCAGAGGAGCCAGTTTTGCTACACAGCATCCTTATGCTTGGTTGTGTTCAGCTGCTGCTGCTTCCTTTCTTATAATTTTGGTTCTGGCTTGAAAAAGCTTCTCCTGCAGCAGTGAAGGAGCTGAGTCTCAAACTGTTGACCTTAAAAAGTGTCCTTTGCTCTGTAAACTTGTGTGGATGTCCACAGGATTGTTGAATTGGGAATGACTGATCAGGCAAACCTGACTGCTGTGCAAATTTCATTTCTTTCCCTGTTAGAGTCAGGGTAGCTGGACTGTTCTAATAATCAGTACTGCTGGTTAGCTGGGACTGCAGTAGTGCAGGAAGTTTTCTAGAGAGAAGTGTGTGTTTATTAGACCCACTGATATAATTGTGGAGAGGGGAGAAACTGCCAGGCCTTCCAGCACACACACACTTCTCCAGTTCATTTTGCATTTGACTGGACTTTTACAGTTACAGCAAGTGACAGGACTTTCATTAATGGCTAAAACTATAAAAATATGCACAACAGTTAAGCACAGAATTGGGAGAGACAAGCATGGCTGTCTATCCTGGGTGCTGTGAACTTTCCACTGCGAACTATAGACCAAAATTCAGGTGAAAATGAAGGCCTGCATTTAAAATTCCAGTAACTGTGTTAGTTGAAAAAGGTCTAAATGTCTGGGTAGTTAATTCAAAGCACAGCACACTGCATGGCTGCTCTGAAATGAATGAAAAGCTGAGGCTTGGACATGGGTGAGAATGTCCTCCTCATTTATTCCCTTACTCCAGCCACTCAGCATACAGACAGGATTCTGGCAAGCTCCAAGCAGTAGGAGGAGGAATGGCTGCTTTGCTATGGTTTCTGCAGCTTAACACAAAGTGAAGGGTGGAAAGATAGCCAGGAAAATTTTCATGTGCATCAGATCAGGCTTTAACTGGCCAGATGTGGAATTGCAAGAGAACAGGTGATATGTGAAGAGTGGAGGGTTAATAATGCTGCATGAATTTCAGTCCATCAGAGACCAGTCCCGGTCTTTTTGTAGCACTGCAAAGCATTAGTGGAAGGTGCATGTCCAAGAGGTACAAATTCCCTGCCTGTGGGTTTGTTTTTCAGGGATGGAAGTATTGTCCTTCACAAGCTTCATGGCTCCTACAGCGTCAAGTTCTCTGCACATGAGCAGGAGGTGAACTGTGTGGACTTCCAAGGCGGCCTCATTGTCAGCGGCTCCCGGGACCGAACGGCGAAGGTGAGCAGGGAGAGTTTCAGCAGGTGCTGCTGTAGAGGTGACTTAGAGGTGTTGTGCCATGAATATTTAAGTGTCAGCAGAACTGTTGTGAGCCCTGTACTCCTTGTAGGAGGAATGCTTACTGTCTTGGCTCATGTCTCTGAAAAGATGCTTGCTCTGCCAGGCTTGTTAGAAAGCGATTTGGCAGTAATTTACAGCATCAGCTGCTGCCTTAAACTTGGAAGTGCAGAAGGCAGCAGCTGATGTTTTGCTTCTTTCCCTGTACATCCATCTACACTGTAGTGGAGATTCTTGCCAGTTAGTGTGAAATTTGCTGTATGGAATTCAAACCCATCCTTGTTTTGTGATTTAACATTGCAATGTAGTTTAACATACTCTCTGTTATATATTCAATGTCTGTAAAGGATAGGATGGTCTTTTTCCAAATCTATGGTTATTTACTAATTTTTTGGTTTAGTTATCTGTGTGGGAGTTTTCTTGTTGTTTTTTGGGTTTTTTTTCTCCAATGGTTCTTGGAGAAAAAAAATGGAATGAAGAATGGAATAGAATGGAAAAAACCAGGAATGAAGTTAGACTATGAGAATTGTTTGCTCCCATGTTTCTCTTCCAGCTGGCATCACTAGGTCCTGTCACGTAATTTTTGGCTATTTCTTTTTGGGGCAAGACCTTGTTGATTTTTGTCCATCTGGATCTGGTTGGCAATGCTTTGTTCCTGTGTGGACCTGGAGAGTTGTTCATCTGAGCTGTAATCAGCTCTGTTTGATCACTTTAGGAAGCTCTACACACGTTTCACCCTTGTCCTGCTAGCATGATGCAGTACCTGTAGTATCTTCACAACCACTTGTTTCATTGTTGGAAGGGTTGCTGTGTGTTCAATATGTTGGTTTTTGCTCTGGGTAGGCTGATAGATACTCTTGGTCCCTGGTTTATATCATAGAGCATTCATGAAATAAGAGGAAAACCAGCTAATTGCTGTTTTATAAGAGGGGAAGCTGAAGCAAGGAAAGGCTTAAATGTCCCTTTCAAGCTTTTGTAGGAAGTGTGTGAAGCAGCATGATCCCATTTATTTTTGTTGGTCCCTCTGTACAGATGTACTCCTGAGTAAAATCACTTCCAAGTAAAGCAAGCAATGTTCCAATGCAAGAGGCAATTTTGGGATTGCTGTTTGCCTCCTGGGAGCAAGACCTTGATGCTCCTTTGTCTCACACTTCAGCAGTGCTGCTCCTCTCTGGTCTGTGGATCTTCTTTTCTGGGAGAGTGCCTTCTTGCTGCTTCTCTGACAGCTGGAGGACAGACATCCTCGACCTTGAGAACAAATTCCTGAAGCCCAGAGGGGAATTTCAAGCTGTTTTTCTTAGAGCTAGTGTGAGATCTTGCCCACACAGTGCTCCCTACAGCATATACTCTGGGGATGTTCTCCTCTTATTTTTTATCATCCTTTTGTAGGCTGTCTTGTTTTCGTGAATGAGACTCTTGGAGGGTGGAAGGGAATCCCTACCAACCTTTTAAAGGGGCTCTAAGTGTCTAAGCTATTGAGGGCTCTGCTGAGTGTTGATTAGGACTAAGCCCTGAAGAGCTGTTAATGTACATTCCTGTGTGATAGGCAGCAGATAGTGTCCTCTGAGCAATATTTTTAACCTGTAGGAGATAGGGTTGCCTTAAAGGAGTTAAGCTTTTCTGCTGCTTTTGCTGACACTAGGTGCTAAATTCCCCGCTGACAAGAATAGCCTGCAATCCTGGGCATTATCAACAAACAAACAAATAGGGCACTCCGTTCTTTGAAGTCCTGAAGCAAAACACTGGGGGTTGGTTACAGACAACTGGGGGGCTTGAGTCCTGTGGGCCAAGAATGATGGCAAGGTGGAGAAAATGAGGGCCACTAGCAGAGGCCCCAGCAAGAATTTTGGGTCCTCTATTAGGACCCAGAAACAAAGGGGTGAACTGGTGGAAGGAGATGTGTGTGTTTGCACTGTTGGGGGAGGGAAGGAATGCTCTCATACTGTCACTGAGCAAGGGCAGCCAGTTTGAAAGCAGCCTGGGGTGCACTTGAAAAACTTGGTCTAAAGGGGGGAGGTCTTATAAAAAAAATTATTTTTCAGGCTGGTGAATGATTAACTTTATAGTTAATATTAATGGAAAAATTTCAGGGATGCTACTAAGTCTTCCCACACTGTTCAAGAGAACAGATTTGAACAACTCCTAGTTGTTGTTTATTTATCTACAGAAGATGAGGAGTTTGTGTTGAGTGCTGCCCTTAGAGAGCAAGTGGTGATGGGGGTGCCAATCTGTAGAAGGTCATACTTATAAGCTGACTTCAAGTGCTTGATTCTGCCAGCAATTGAAGGCTCTGCTTTCCAAAATAAGTAATTGTAATTCAGGGAGAGGGTCTGTGGGAAGGTAAGCATGACAGTTTGGGCAGCTCTTCCAGCACAACATTAACAGCATGCATCCTACCTTCTGCAGTTTTGGATGATGTGGCATAACATGCATCTCTCTTTTAGGTTTGGTCCCTGTCCGCGGGCAGAGTTGGTCAGTGTCTACATACAGTGCACACAGAGGATCGAGTGTGGTCCATTGCTATCAGCCCATTATTAAGGTAACACATCTCTTTATTCCCAATTTTCATCAGAGAGAAGTAAAGGAGTTGCATAGGCTGTGTGTCCACAAATCTTTGTGAGGCACCAGTGTGACGGTTCAGGAACTTGATTTGTGTGGAGGCTGATCAGGTGCTTGTGCCTGCAGCAGGAGCTCAGGGGAGAGCATGTGGTCCTTATTTCCTATACCAGCAGAATGATCCCCTTATAAAGAGGCCATGAAGGTGGCCCTGGGTACCTCTTAGTGCCACAGGTGGGATCTGTTCATTATTTCTTGAGGAAGGAACGCTGACTTGCTAATTAGAAACAGTGAGCTGGATCCTCTTGAGATTTTCTGTGCTGAAAAGATACCAACTTGTATTCTCATTCTCTGGCAGAAGAGATACTGAGCAAAAAGGTCCCTGCTTGAGAGCTGCGTGCAGTGGTTAGAACTCAGGCTTTTTTGAACATGTTGAACTGGCAAAGATGAAGTAGAATTCAGGGATGTGTTTTTCCAGCCTGTTGCCTGTAGCTCTGTGCTTCTAGTGCACAGAATGCTACAAGTACAGCTTCAGTGTGGGAGGCAAGGGCAATACATACACCAGTGTCTTCCAAGGTGTTCTTTGAAGTGCTCCTGTTATTGAGGAAGTGAAAATCTGAGAAACTCTCACTGTTAAAATCTTGCACAACCAGCAGTGATCTGTCTCTTTGGTTCTGGCCTGCATGCAGGAGAGGTTCTTCCTCAGCATACCTCAGGGAAGAGGGGAAGAAGAGTTGCTATTGCTGCTCATGTGATGTCCACAACTGCTGAATTTTAGGCTTGTGCAAAACTAAAATACTGTCCACAACTGCTGTCCTTGTTAGATTTCCAAGCTTGTTTTGCAGGCAACAGAAACTCAGTGGTACAGAACTAATGGCTTTATCAGAGAAATGGCACTCCAGGCTTGCTGTGATTTTGCTGTTGCCTTGTTCCTTTGCTCTGAGTGTTTGAGACAGTTAGTGTTTTTGAAGAGGTGCCACATGCATTAATGCTGCTGCAAGATGTGAGAGAGAAGCCCTTTGCTGTCTTCTGTGCTGCAAGGCTCCCTTTTCTGGCTGACAGGCTCAGGCACTGTGGCTGGTTAGAGGCCAGTGGCATTCTGCTTCCTACTCCTAAGTGATGACCTACTGCCGTGGCCCCTTGTCAGGATGGTGTTCCTCTCCGTGGTGTGCGTGCTTGTGCACACTCTCTGTCACAATATTTACCCTCAGTCTCCCCACCCCCCTTTCCTCCCTGCAGGGTGATAAATTGGAGGTGGTGGAACAGCTAACCCATGAACAAGTGGGTTTAAATTGTGCACTCTCATTTTTTATGAAACCGTGGACTGTACCAGCCTCTCCCACTAGCCCAGCCTACTGCACCCTCCCCTTACCCCTCCATATTTTAGGGAGGGGGGTGTGGAGAATTAGAGCCAATTAGCCACGTCATTAATTCTTCAATTTGACGGCTGATATAGCAGGGCCTGAAACACGCTGCTGACCTCGTATAATGGGAACCCTGCTCCTTAACATATTGACGATGGGAGAAGTTAATTAAAATTCCACAGAGAGAAGGTGTCGGCTAACCTATAAACCTGTCGCTTCTCAGAACAAATCGCAGCCATCCTAGAAGAGAGAGAGGATCAGAGCAGGAGGGCATGTGGTGGGGGTTGGCCAGGGCAAGGGGCAGGGGAGATGAATTTTTCACTAATAGGTTTTATTACTTGCTGTCTAATGAGCGTGAGTATCAAAAAGATAATATCTGGTTTCTAGGAAAGTCTGCTTTGGGGAGCTCTGTGGTTTTTGTTTTATTTGTAAGAGCCCATATTTCACCCATATACACTCCTTATGCACTTATGTCTAAAGCTTTTCCTCCCTTGCAGTCCCCATCCTTCTAGGCAGAGCTTGGATACATTTGTTCCCCAGTGAGGCTGAACATGGCCTATAACTTCCACTTCCTCCTAAACATTTAACATGACCTTCTGATTCTCCCTTCTCAATTGTGCTGATGTAAACTGAGATCTCCTCCATAAGGACAGGTAGTTCTACTGCTGTATAACTGCCGGAGAATCAGGCTCCAACCACCTAAGTACTTTGGCCCATTGCTGCTAAGAAATGGCAGCTGTCTCTACTATGGACACACAGAGCTCAAAGCAGTTCTGTGCAGTGGGGTGGGAGCAAGGAAGGCTCCTCCGACTCTAGCCATTCAGAATTGCTTTGCAGAAGCTGTAGTTTCCTGACCTGGAAGTTTGCCAGGATTTAGCCTCTCTAGAGTAGTCAGGGTGGTATTCTTATGAAGTATGTGAAGCTTCTTACAAAGTATCCCATATGCTTCTGACCCACCACTGGGTTTTGCTGTGCCTGCTGTAGTCCTGCACTGCTGGGCTGCTACTCTAGAGAACAGTGCCTGTACATTCAGGCTAAATGTTAGAGACTTGTTCTCTTAGAGCACAGCTCCTCTGGTTTCAGGCATTTTCTCTTAGGTATTCTGCTTTGATTTGTCCATAGTTTCCTTGTGTCACTACAGAGATCATCCTGTAGATGTGCAGAGCTGGAGGAGGAGGCTTCCTTGTTCTTAATGTCGTGGTGCTATTCTGGATGTTTCTAGATCTGCAAACAGAATGATTCTTGTAAGAGAGATTCAGTAGGGGGAAAGATATTAAAAGGGTATCAAGAATATTGGATCATCTCTTCATACTGTGCTGGGGAAAACTGTGCTTAGTCCTTTACATAACTTTTTCAGCCATGGAAGTGTCCTGACATCTGTGTGTGTTATTGGAGCTTCATTGCTTTGGGGATCCCTAACAGTGCTCTGCAGGGTAATGGGGATGGGAGGGCATTGTGTTCATTCTGGGTTTTCAGCAAGTCTGCAAAGTTATGCTGGTTGGTGTGCTTTGAATAGCAGGTCACACATTGCATGTCTCATAAGTGACTAGAGGAGACTGAGAGAATTCTTAAAGTAGGATACTTAAAATAAGGGTACCTCAGTTTCTTTCAGCCACTGGTTTAATTGATCTCTGAAGCTGTCCTTCTCCATGGCTTAGTAAAATGCTGTACTTACTCTGCTGTGTACCCTAAACTACATCTCTTAGCTGCTCATCATCCTCTTCCCCCCACGAGTTCATTTGCCTTTTGAACTCTGCATCACGCAGATGTTAAACTTTCATTTACTGGTGCTTGCTGCAGTGACTTATGTGTGCTCAGGGACCAGGGCAAGCCTAAGTGCAGTGGACCAATTCAAATGTGTAAAGTGAGGCAAACTCAGGAGTTTCTGGTAGAGCAGTGGAACCTTCATGCTTTGTGGTTCCCTGAGGTGGCAGTAGCCAGGGAAGAGATGGGAGCAGTATACAATATAAACTGGAGGGGGAAGAAAATGTGAACCTTCATGTTGGATCCAGATTTTTTTTAATGTTGAATTTAAAAAAGTACTCAGATCTAAGCTGACTTCTCCTGCCAGGCCTGGCCACTGGCATTTGCTATTTTCATTTTTAAATATTTAAATATTTATCATGAGATGCTGTACTCAAAGCGTGTCAGATTTTAAAGGAAGCAAAGAGAAGACAGAGGCACACAAATGGTTTCCAATGTGCAACTGTAGATGAGCAGCAGGATGCCAGGTTTCAGCTGTAGATAGAGAGCTAGGAAACCCTTGGTACACTTTGGAGCAATCATAAAGTGCCCTACTGTGACAGAAACATGCTTTGGGTGTGTAAGCCCAAGAGACAGTCTCTTCTTTTCTGACTCTGTCATTAGTCTGCTGCAAGAAATGACCTCTCCTTGTGGATATTGCCTTGATGAAGTGCAGGTTAACTGCAGAGAGAAGGAAAGTTTGTACTGAAGACTAGCTGTCTGCATTGGATGCTTAATTTAAAGGAAAATATGTACTTACATGAACAGCCAAATTAAAAAAGCCAGGCTGGCTCTCCTGTTTATGCAGTGTTGTAGTTGAGACCCAGCTCCTGTATTTGAACATGCTGATTTTAACCTAATTGCCTCTCCCATGGATTATTATGAGGAAGTAATATCTGAGGAGATCTCTCTTCTACGGACAACTTCAGGCAAATTGTAAAACTCAAACTCATTGGGGAAAGGAAGGAAGAGAAGGGTTACTTTACTGAATGGGCCTCTCTTCCATTGGGAGTGATCAAAATGATTAATTTTCAGGGCTTCTTTTTAATGGTTATCTAGAAACTTCTTGTGAAAGTGTAACAATCTGATCTTGCAGGTCGCCTTAGAGCAAAACAACCCATTTGAATCAGAGCAACTTTGCAGTGGTTTTAACTGTGCAGTTGAAGCCCTAATGGGTAGGTCGAAGTTAAAATGTTGGATAATGTTCCCCTGCTCTCATTTTTACTCCGATTTTATCAGCAGGTTTCCCCTACTGCATATCAAGATGAGCTGGTGGCTGTAGTGTGCTCTGCTTTGACCTTGCTTTGTGCAGTTAACCTCTCTGAGTCTGCTAGGACTTGGGAGAAGTAACTGAGTTTTGTTGGGGTTTGTGCATTGCCAGCAAAACAGCCGGCAGCAATAGCTCTGCTGTCCTTGGGGATCTTCCTAGAGCCTGGTCGGTTTGAATAATTGAGAGGGGACTCTGACCTGCAGCTGTTTCTTAAGCAGGGCAGGAAGAACCTGCTCAGCTGTGAGATCCCAGAGTGGACGTGCAGAGTTAGTGGTGGCATTAACTGCCATCTTTTACTGACCTCAGAGGGCAATCTGGATGTGGGTTTCTAGGTATATGCAATAGTCATAACTGACTTGGTGCTCTTTCACCCTAAAGCTGAGGAGCAGGAAATGAGTATCAGTTTCTCCCCTCTGGAGCTAAAATGACACCTGTGTCTTATCCATTTGCCCTGACTGTTCCCTTGATGTTAGGAGGAAGAAGACTTTGTTTTACCTTCTTTATTGTGTGATAATAGCTCTATTTGGTCTTCTTCATGTGGGTGAACACATAAACACGTGTGTCTGTTTTCCCTCTCCTCTAGAAACAAACAAATATGCAAACATT